GGAACAAACAGGTACCTCCCCCTGGGCTGAGAATGAACAGGTACCTCCCCCTGGGCTGAGAATGAACAGGTACCTCCCCCAGGGCTGAGAATGAACAGGTACCTCCTGAGGGCTGAGAATGAACAGGTACCTCCCCCTGGGCTGAGAGTGAACAGTTACCTCCCCCTGGGCTGAGGGATGAACAGGTACCTCCCCCAGGGCTGAGAATGAACAGGTACCTCCTCCCAGGGCTGAGGAGTGAGCAGGTACCTCCCCCTGGGCTGAGAATGAACAGGTACCTTCCCCAGGGCTGCCACCCATCGTGGGAGGCTCTGGCTGTCCATGTGTTCACGTGTCCATGTGGCTGCGACGTGGCCGGGAAAGGGGGCGGGTGCTTTTCAGAGTTTATTTAATAAAGTCCCTTCCTCCCATCCCTTTTACTGATGTTGTACAGAGAAAAAAAAAAAACCCTCAGTGGGCAAATGAACCGGGCTGCACTTGAGTTTTTGGCTGTTTAATGTTGTTCACTGAAACATAATTATGGAGATAAATTTCAGTGCCGCTCACCCGGGAATCGGAGGGAACCTTAAACTGGGACACACTTCCCTGGGACAGGGAATGGATGGCAGAGCGTGGGGGTTGGATGGTTTCCTGTCTAGTTGTGTGTTTGCAGGGCCAGGGGAGGACTGAGCTGTTCCCTCAGGCCTCCAGCTGAGCTCTGGGCTCCCAAACCCAGCCCTTGCCTGGTCCTGGCTCTTCCCACGGGCATGGCTGGGCCCGCAGGACTGGGATGCTGCTGGTGCTGGGAGGAGTTGTCTGAGCTCAAACCTCAGTGTGTGGGAGAAACATCTCTTCCCCTGAACTGGAACTGCTTCCTCTGCACAGGCTTTGTCTCTGGGCAGTCCTGGCCTTTTGGTGCCTTAATTGATTGCACCTTGACACTAAAAAAAAAAAATCTCCTTAAATCAGTGCTGGGTTGGGCTGGTTGTCCCTGGTGCCACCAGAGCAGGGAGGGAGCAGAGCCCACCTCAGTGATTCGTGCTGCTGAGGAGGGGGAGTTCTCCTTGGGCTGGTGGAAATCCAGTGATTTCTGCTCCTGGATCCTGAGAGGGGAATGGAAACGAGCAGAGAGCAAAGCCCGTGGGCAGGGTGGGGTGTGGCAGCTGAGGAACAACCCGTTTATCCATCACTCTGGTGTTGGGTCTGAAGGATAAATGTGTTCCTGGGTAACAGCTCCTGAGGGGGATGTCCCAGGGGGGAGGTCACTAGCTAGGCTCTGTCCTCCCCAAGGGATGTGCTCCTGGGGATGGAGGGCACCTGTCCTGGCTCCTCAGCTCCTCAGCTGACCTGTGCTGTCTGTTCTTCCAGGGATAATGTTAGTTCAGGTTGCTCCAAGCCTTGGA